CCTGGAGCCCAGCGCCCGCAGCGCGGCTCAGGAAGCATGGAGTTAAATAAGTTTGTGTCTCTCTCCATCCGAACAATTGGAATCAGCAGTTTGCATTATTTTAAAAATGAATGCCTGGAATCAGCAATTTTCTGTTTCTTTTTTTTTTTTTTTTTTTTTTTAAGATCTTGAGGTTTTTTTTATTATTTAAAGTGGAAAACTACATTAAGTGCAAGGCACTCAACAAAGAAGCAGTCATAAAGCCTAAGTATTCTTAGAGTTATAAAATATGTCCGTTGTGGCAATTCTACTGCCAACAATGAAGTTTTAAGCATTAATATGCCTTCATTGCAGTTTTAATGCCTTAATATTGACTCTATAGCTCTTTTGGGTAATTTTGCTTTCTCTGGTACTTGAAAGGTGATGATGTCAGCGTTCTTCGCACTGATTCATATGCAGGTTGATGAAGCTGAGTTATTTATTGAGTTCCATTATATTTTCTATAAACATTAGTTCTCAATAAACAGAGACATTTAGCCGAGGGTTTATTTATTAAATAGGTACTGTACAGATGGTTTTGCCACACATGATGTGCTGCAGAGGATATTACTCAGGAATAATCAGCTGTGTTATAGCTTGGCTAAATTAATAAGATGATAATGATGAAATTGATGCTTTTGAGCTAGGCTTGGTAAATGGTTTTTGCATAAACAAACTGATAAATTTGAGAAGCAATTACTTGCTTGTCAAAGATAAAAACACAACAGGGCCCATTTATAGTTAGGTCCTATTTATTTTTAAAGATTGTACCAGATTTTATGTTTAATACGCTGCAATTAAAAAATAATACTTAAATGAAGAATAATAAAAAACTAACTTTCTGAGCTCTCCTTCAAATTTGAAGATGCAGCATTGCTTGGTTAGACATCAAGTAAACTTTTTTCAAGGCTTTCACTACATCCAGAAAAAATATAATTGTTTTATGAGAGATTCTGCCCGGAGTTGTGCGAGGCAGGCTCTGGCAGGGCTTCCTGTGGCAGTACTTGCTCTGAAATTAAGCTGACTTTGATGGGAAATAGCGCAGTCTCCAGTTCCCTGTTTGATGTGGGTTTCACTGCAGTGATGGAGGAACAGAGGTGGATGCTCCCCACGCAAGCCAACTTCATGCAGCTCTGCAGTATGGTAACATACACACCTATGCATGTGTGGATATAAGTATATTGGCACACAAGGAAGGCCATCTTTTGATGTGTCTCCACCCAAGCCTAAGTGTGTTGCGTAGTTCTATACGCCAGCCAGAGTAGTTTGTTGATATTTACTTAGAATAGGTTTAAACAGAAAGGCCATGGCCGCACTGGAGAAAGCCAGCAGCAGCTGACATCAGCCATATCCTCAGGAAGTGTGGCACCCCACGGGACATGGTCAGGGCTTTCCATTCTGGGGCTTGGGGACACGGGTCACAGAGCACAGGAGCATGCAGTTGGCTTCGTGATGTCCCTGCGAGGTGAGTGCTGTCACTCTTGGTTGACAGAGGACAGGAGAACGTGAGCCAAAGAAGGATGCCAGCTGACCCAAGGCTCTGCACCAGGGCTCAGACCCAAGTGCCACCACCAATAATTTATTTTATGTTACTCTGTAATAATGCCTTGTGGGCATCAGCTCTGGTGACTTTAATTCCTTCTGGCTCTGGAAATCAGGGTGATGGGCTCTAGGACCCATCCTTTTCACCACCACTGTCTTCTGCATCCTTGCAGGGATGTCCGAAGTAGACTAGAGCTGAAAAGAGTCACTGTGTGGCCAAAAGTAGGCAGCCACTTCCTAACTTACTTGCATGCGCTCTCCAGCCCACGCAAAGTCTTTTGTAGCCTTACAGCTTCAGCTTCTTGCTGAAGCGCCGTTTTCCACGAAGGGCTGATGCCAGAAGCCAGGCCAGGGAGCAGTGCAGCCATGACAGGAGGCCCTGCCCTTAGGAGCACATCCCTGATGGGTCCCATCAGGGGCCGCTGCGATTCAACATACCTACTGCTTAACTGCAACCTTTGCAGCAAAGAATTTGCTGAATACAGAGAGGGGAAGCCGCTGCCACGCTGCGGGGCTGCACCTGCTGACCCCTGTGTGGGCAGTGTGACGTTCAGAGCTGACGTCACCGTATTCCTCCGGGAATTGTCACATTTCTTGTACTGAGAAGGAAAGAAAGAGAGGGAAGGGAAACAAATCAGTGCTTTCAAAGTATAATTACTTTTTAACTGTTCCTGAGAACTCCAGGTAAGAAAATGTGATTCTGAAGAAGTGTGATGTTCAAACAAAATAGTTAATTCTAAATAGAATAAGGTTTCTGCCAGTCAGGATTTTCTTCTCCTGAACAATTTTACAGTACTCAGTGATAATATTAATTAGCAAAACCTGGGGGTTCTCAAAAAATATTGTTGAAAGATTTTCTTGCTATAGGAAGAGGTAGAGCCGAACTTTGCTTTTGGTAGAGGAGTCATCTCAGAGCTGCTGTCATGAAAGAAAAGTAGTCAGAATAAATCCACATGCGGAGCGGTCACTGTGCAAACCCCCTGCTCTTGGAGTGCTTTGCTGCAGCCCAGCCAGCCCTAAAGCTGCCTTAAAATCCAGGGCACCACAGTGCTTTGTGGCAGAATTGTTTATTATTAATGAGGCTGTGCAAAAAATCCTACGGACGCACCGATGACGCTCAATGAGCCAATCCCAGATAATGCCACCATAATGAATTCCAGAGGAATAAATAATGATGGAGCCATTAACATAACGGGCAGCCATAGCCCGGCACGGCCACTGCCACCTCACTGATGGTGCCGTCCCTGCAGCCCCAGCGGTGCCCATCGTGCCGCTCTCCATGTGAGCACAATGCTGAGGTGGGTGTCTGTGCCCATCTTGCTCTGCTATGCAATCAGAGTTTTTCTTCCATGGCTTGCACAGGCAAATTAATTAGAAATTTATATGGCCAGAAGTTCAGTTTAGCACGCGTTTGAGACAGAGGCTATTGCTGCGAACGTATTTGCACTCTTCGTCATGGAACAATTATCTGCCCATTTAGAAAATGTGAAATTTGTTTCTGTTTTAATAGATGCTCCTGAGTATAAAAACATCAGAGTGCTGTGGATTGTAGCACACTGAAAAACCTCGTAGAGGAGCACCTGGCTTGTGCCCACACACGCCAGCACACACCAGTTGGGGGGTGGGGAGTAATGTAGAATAATGCTATCCATGTCATTTCTACAATCATAAGATACAAATGAATATATACATGATGCTATCAGGTGGAAGGCATTGTAACAGGTTACCCAGAGAGGTGATGGATGCCCCATTCTTGGAGACATAGCACCCTGATCTAGCATAGCTGTCCCTGTTCATTGCAGGGGACTAATGACTTTTCGGGGTCCCTTCCAACTTGAACAGCTCTGTGATGCTATGATTCCTGCACAGGAAATCAAACGGTCGGGTGGAAGGGCTGAGGGCGGGCAGCAGGGCGGCTCTGCCAGCATCCCCATCCCCGTGGCAGCCCAGCAGACCGGCGTCAGGTGCTCCTGCCCTTCTCCTGTCTGCCGCTCACAAACCCAGCCAGGGAATGTCATTAGAAGCAGCCATGCCATCTGCCTCCTCCTCCCCTCCCCTTTAAATAAGGAAACACCTTGTCAAACACATCCCTCTGAATATCCCTCCTGCGCACTCCGTGGGATCATGCACCATCTGGGCCCTGCGCAGCACAACGTGGCCCACCGCAGTGCCCCGATGCCCGTGTGGGACAGGCAGGGACGGGGCCTCGTGTCCCAGAGAGTAACTGCAACGTGTGGCAGGGCCTCAGAGAAGGGAGGGCGAGGTGGTCAACGTCATGGCATTGGGAACGGCAGAGCTAAGCAAAGGCAGTGAGTTAGCAAGAGGAACAATCCTGGCAGCTTTGTGATGTTGAACCCAGAGAATTATCTGAGCGGGACCTCAAACACAGGCATTTGTTAACATGCAAATGGACTGAGTCAGCAATTAGTCAGTGCTCAGCATAATTGAATAGAATATAGTAATTAAGTTGCCTTTTAATTATTCCCATTTTGTTAAAGGTAAATATTTACCAGTATCATGTTTTTTTCATTGTCTCCTGCACGGAAAGACAATATCTGGACAGAGGGCCTGCTGCAAAGTTTCCCAAAACCTTGAACTCTGCAGGTTGCCCCTGAGCAGTGCTGTGACCGCTACCAGAACCTCCCCCCGTGCTGGAACAGGCCCTCCAAAACCATGACCGCCCCCTCCAGGGCCCGGCCGCACAAGGTGCCATCAGGCTGTGGCCTGGGACTCACCCGACTCCGCAGACCGGTTCACCAGGCACACGCTCTGCACAAGTGTGAGTGTGCACAAGTGTGCACAAGCGCACGCACGCATGCCTGCCTACAGTCCGTGCAGACAAGTCTTTGTTCTGGGTGATTGCTGTGCAGACAACACACTCACCCGGCTGTGCTGAGACACTGCGCAAAGCGATGTGCTGATAAGTGAGATATCGTTGAGCGGAGCCTTAGGAGACAGGGGAACATTATTTTAAATTATCTCAAACATAAAAACAAAGTGGAGATTTGGCAACCTTGCAGCAAAAACCTCAAAACCAGTTATTCCTTTTAAATAAAAACAAAAATGAGAAACAGTAACTATTAGAAATCCCACCTGGTGCTTTCTCTGTGTTAATGATGCTTCTTAAATTGCATGTGGGTAAATGGTAATTTTGTCTCACGCCATTAAAAACTAATGGAACCCTTGATGATAAGAAATGCCATAGCTAGCTTGTTGGAAAACGTTTAATTAATAAAGTAATAAAATTATTGTAAACTAGTGCAGTTTCACAGAGGATTCAATGGGATATAAAACAGATAAAACATCCTTGAGAGTTGGTACAAGAAATAAACGCTACTCTATAAAAAGCTGCACAATAAAGTTAAGCTGGCCTGTGTTGTACAGATACAAGATGAGATACTGAAATAATAAGGCTATTTGGATTATTCTTCCAGGGGAAGTGCTGGGAAAACCCCATGAGTGGAGAAGCAGGTATATACTCCCAGGACCAGAAGGGAAGCGCACGTTTCATCTGAGCTGGCACAGAGCTGGACAAAGCTGCTTCACTGCTGCAACACTGTGAGCCTGTGTGAATATATTGTTCTTCTTATTATTACCGCTATTATTAATATTTGCCATTCAGCCCAGGCTGAGGCACACACAACCTGAGTTCTCCTCACTGTGGGGGCAGCCGGGCACTACCAGCAAAGCCCTGCAGAAGGCTGCGGGACAGCGCGGCTGCGGGGAAGGGGACTGCAGCCCTTCTTTGTCCCATATGTCACAAGCATGTCATGAGATGATGACAAAATAATAACAAGTTGGTGGCTGTTTGAAACTTTTTTTTTAGCAGCTGTGTTTTTAGAATATTCTAATTAACCATCCGCTTGCCTTAATCACTTCAAGATTTCTGAAATAGCTGAGAGCTTGCTGCACCTTCTCTCGACAGCAGTCTTCCCCATGTGGGGACCATGGCTTTGTTTTTTGGAAGGGAGGGCAGAAGCAGCAGGGCCAGGCTGGAAACACGCAGTCAGGTTTGTCATTGGCAAGAATTGCCGACACCATCGTGCAGTGATTTTAACTTGCAGCCACTGTATACCAGCAAGAAAAGAGGTGACGTTGCCTTTCATCTGCACAATGACTGACTCACTTCGCCTGGACTCAGTTTTGCAAAATTTAAATGCAGTAAGTGCGGTATTTGTCGGAAGAATAAAAGGGTGAACAGTGAGTAAAGGGAAAAATATTTGTCAGCCTGCCAGGGAGAAGGAAGATTAAAAGCTGCTTGTGAATAAGGCATGTGGATGGCACAGCCATCTCGCCACTCAGTGCCGTTGCCTGAATCAGGTAAAAGCAGAGGGCTTTATCTCCAGAATGCACTCCTGTCTGTCAATGTTAGTTGTTTTCTTAAATGACATGTTTTCTTCTGGCAGATGGGAACAAGCATTGAAGAATAATTTTTTTTGGAGGCAGACAAATTGGCTGCCTGGAAATGTGTGTGTGTTCAGGAACCTGGTGGCTCTTGGCGCAGGTTGGTGGTGCCCAGCTCACCTCACCCTGTGGCCTCTGCAGGCCATGCCAGTGCCCAGCCCGCCACGTGCTCTGAGTATCACCCGTGTTATTTTGTGCCTGCAGTACAAAATTTCCTGCTGGCTGCTTCTCCAGTCAGGGGATTTTACCAAAATTGGGCTTTGGGCTTGGCGAGCTGGCAGCAGAAGGCAGCAGCTGGAAAGGTTTTTGAACATGGCAGCAGCGTCTGAAGTTTGGCAGCAAGGGAATGAAAAAGTCAACTGAGTCCAAATCCATCACCTGGAAGCCCCCAGCAGTGCACATGGCACAGTGATGGTGGGCTCAAGCACAGGCATTGCTGCCCGCTCTGTTGGGCTGATGGTACTTGTGGCAGCTCCTCACCAGGCTGTTCTCTCCCTCTGTCCTCTCCCGGGCACTGCACATTACCTCCTTTTGCCACAGAGCTGGAGCACACTGACACTTCTCTTCTTTGGGTAAACTTTAGCATCCTCAGAGATCTTGGTCCTAACAAGGGGATTCCAGCATTACACACAAATGCACGTGTCTACACACAAACATACATGTGCCTACAGACACCTGCAGTTTTCCTTCTCCCTCTCTATAAATATATACACACATATGTACATCCACAGATACAGAGGCATGTGTGTGTATATATGTGTGCAAAGAGGGGAGGGGAAAGACACTCAGAAAATGAAATACAAATGTTCAAAAAATAATATTCCCAAGCCCTCAAATCTCTAATCATGAGTTTGATGCAATATTTGCCCTAATGGGAAATGATAACTGGCAATAGTCCAAAGCAAACCTCTTAGAAAGGAGCAATAAAAAAGGAAAATGCTAGCTTGGCAGTTAAAGAAAGAGGAGCCGAAGCGAGAACTGCTGTCGGAGATAATAAAGAATTAACCACAAACCCCTTTTCTATTAAGCACAAAAAAGGATATTAAAATAACACGCTCCCTCCCTAAATATCTGAGGGGTTGTGTCATACTTTGCTCTGCAGCCTCCCTGGCACTGGTGGAGCTGGGGGCTGCAGCCCGCCCCCCCCGCCTCCCCGCGCCCACTCCTGCCAGGGCGGCTGCTCCACACTCACACTCCCGATCTTCACCACAGGAGAGCGAATGGGGGCATGGCCTGAGGGGGTGTGAGAGGGGCAGTGAGCTGCAGGGAGCCGTGCTGCTCCTCAAACCTGCGAATGTAAAGTCCCCACTGCCCTTGCAATTCCCTAGCAGCACCCTTGCTGCTCCAGCCAGCTCCTGCAGAGTCTGGGGACAGCTACAGGGACAAAACTGCATCTTACGCAGTATGTCTGTGGGAAACCATTGATAAACTTGGCCGTGAAAGTAGGTTTTGTGAATTACATATAGCTTATGGATGTCATCTGTTTAACCAACATCTTCCTGTGTGTGTAGAGCACACCAACATGGCCTTAACAGCTGTTTCTTCTTGCTCTAGGGGGCTGCCCACTGTTTGGTCCTGCTACCTCCCATTGCACCCATTGCTTAATGAGAGAACTGCATGATGAGCTGCTACCAGCACCTTCAAAGCACGTCCTCATGGATTTAATCAATCCCTAAGATGACAACAAGGTAAATTCTGCATTACCTGGTGAAACACTGGCCTTTCCTTTTTGACCTGGTTTTCTTTTGTGGCTTCCACAAAGACCTTCGAGACTGGGCTGTATCATAGCAGGGCTCCTTTTACCTTTCAGTTTCCTCATGGCCCTGCACATCGCAGAGCACTCTGTACAATGCAGCATTGCTATGCTATCCATACAGTCCACAGACACAAGGACGTCTGTTAATGAGTCTCAATGCTCTCTTTTTCAGTTTGGTGGCAAACATCAGTACATTTACCTTCAGGTTTTTTTATGTTTGAGCATATTTCATTTTAAAGATGGCATGCAAATTAAGACAGAAAGTGACACCCTCTGGCACTTTTATGTGGCAGGGAGCTCCCTGACCTGGTCTGCAGCCATGGGGACATCCTGTAATGCTAACAAACCACAACACTACGTCCTGCTGGGTTTGGGCAAAGCCAGGAGAAGCTGCGGGAGTTGTGGCTGTCTCCCAGCACATGTGCCCAGCCAGCACTGTTTCTGTCTGGCCTCACAGTGGGCAGAGATGCGATAACAGATTTTGTCCATTTGGTGACTGCCAAACCCATTTCTGTAGTATTTTCCAACATAAACATCCTTTGAAATTTCCGCTTCAACCAAATAGCAGGTTTTACTATAGCAATTTTGCATTTGCAAGAATCATGGTACTCAGTGCATTACAGACTCAACAGAGTAAAATTTCCCCTTTACATCAAGTCAGAGAAATCCTAAATGATTTTATTTTTAAGACTTTACTTTGGTTCATTAACACACGGGGAGGCATTAATCACATGGAGCAATGAGATGCAACAACTCCTTTGACACTTTCCTATTGTCGGGATCTTTAATGTGCAGTTTGACAAGAGCTAGGTGGTGGCAGCTCAAATGAGTTTTTGTCGGATCTCACTTCTGTGCTAGGAATGCCCCAAGCCCAGCTTGACTCAAGCCAAAGATACTATAAGAAATCACTAAGATCTTTTGGTAAATGTTACGTGACTTACATCTGCCAGTAACAGCTTATTTAAAAACACAATGTGTGTATCACTTTCATTTATCTACTCAGAGTATAAGGATTTGGAAGGAAAAAGAAAGTTACCTGTACAAGACATTTTTTAAATCAGAACTTCTTCTTGAGCTACATCACTGTAGAAAAGCAGAGCTAAACTTTAATTGCTTTTATCCAAGATCCTAAATTTATAAACACTTAACCAGAATTCTACCAACTATTACGTAGTTTAAAAATGGAGCATTTGTGTGCCTGTGCCAGTCTACGTTAATTTCTCATCTGAACTTAAAAAATGAAATCAATAAAGGTGTGGGTGGGGATCTTTAAAAAATAACTACTGTACGCTGTGAGCCAAGAGCTTTAGTACAAGATGTATCTGCCCAAAGTACAGGCAGGCTGGCGTTCAGATCAGGCACCTAAAGCTGGGGTGTCATAAAGCAGAAAAATACCACCGAGAGCTGTTCTTAGCACAGAGCAGCAGCACTTTGCATCCACATCCAGTGAAACTCCACTCCAGTTAGATTCACTGCCAAATTACAAATTCCTATTTGATTTATCAATCACAATTTTGTATTGTTAATTCATATGTTCATTAGACAAATCTGTCCCTCCAAGGTAATCACTTAAGGTACTGCTGGCATGTGAACATGCACAAATGGATAATTCTTAATGACCTTCCAAGTTGACATATTTTTGGCATGAGTTTTCTGTATCCTAATTTCAAGCTGCTTCTCTGGTGCTGTTGTAGGGCTCACTTCCCTCAGCAAGGAGGTCTTGTAATGGGAGGTCGCTGCTAAGAGTGTTCCCATCAAATAGCAGCAGAACAAGGAGAAATTAACACGATCTCCTTGGGTAAAAGTGGAAACAGCCTTCTCTTTCAGCAGCCTTGCAGAGAGAAGAAAACATTTACACTGAACAGCTTAACTAGTTCTGTGACTTCTTTTTCACTGTTGCTCCTGTAAATAATAGTGTGGTAGGTATGGGCTGCTCAAGCTGTGCTGGCTGGTGTGCGTGCTGCCCACCCCCAAGGCCAGTCCAGCATCACCGATCCCGTATCATGGATTAATATGATGAGAGCGATGCACAGCTCAACATACAACATGGAACAGCCATGTCACAAATGGCAAATATCACGACACACATATCAAATAGAGGAGCCCTTGGTGATGTAGGAGGCCCCATCACAGGCTGTGGGCACCAAGTTCACCGCAGTAAGATGATGTCAACCACCGTTGCAGCTGCTTAGCCAGCAGTGTGGAATGGTGAAAAAGAAGTCAGCAGCCTAACACAAGGCTTGCAGGGCTGCTGGCCATCTCATGAAACTCCCCAGAGCTGACCATGGGCTGGCCAGAGCTGGGAGCGAGGAAATGGAGCAGAAGAGGTGCCTCCATCCACCCAGCCTTGGGTTTTGGTAGGGTTGGAGGCTGGCTGAGAAGAAAGCAAGACAGGACGGGAAAGAATGGTGCCAGAAAAGCACCCATCCCGCACGAGCAGCAGCCCCTGGAGAAGAAGAGTTTGCATCCCTTCCTCAAAAGCACAGCTCCGGCTGAAAAATCCGAATGTATGGACAAAATGTAAATGCATTATGACAAGCTGTATGAGAAATCAAAACAAGGAACAAGGAGCGTATGTTTCTTTTAGAGAAATGTCCTTTATCTCGCAGGCAGAATGAAGTGTGTGGCATTCAAATGTTAAGATTTTTACACACTTTCATGAAATACTAAAGAGAAACCCAAAAAAAAAGAAGAAAAAAAAAGAAGAAAATAACCCAAGTCCATGTCACTTCTCAGCTAGTTTGGTTATTGCTGCTCCTGAGTACTGTAACATATGCACTTTCCCTTTTGAAAATGTATCAAAGTTGTTATTTTGGGGGTGGGATAAACTCTTACCCATGCATATCTTATGTTTCAAAGCCAAGAATGCTTGAGAACCGGCTCTGGATCTGCACATCAGATGCATAAGTGATTAGTGACAAGTGACACAGAAACAGAGAATGTGCTGTGTTACAATGAATAATAAACACGCACAATTTATGCAGGCAGAGTGAGCGGGGAGATGGCATCCTGTGCCTTTTCCATATAAATAATGTGAATCTTGTCAAGCCAGGGCTGGGCACTGCCGGCTGAAGAGTGAGGCTGGGACGGGCACAGAGGGGTGGTGGGTAGGTGGGGAGCTGGGTCTTCCAATGGTTTTGTTATGGTGCAGGCTGACAGCAATTACTCTTGTGTAAATGAGAGTAGAGACAGGGAAATATATTACTGTGGTCAAAATTTTTCACTCTGAAAAGAACTACTGGATAATGAAAAAAGTTTCTCAAAAAATAGTGGTAACGTTTTGTAGGTTTCTGGTGAGCATCCCTGAAGCATCCATTGTGAAGGCACTGCCTAGCAAAGGGATTGGTGGTGCCACTCTGAAAAAGCCAACAGTGATCAATTTTTGTATGTGCAAACTCTGTTTTTAGATAAAGTTTCACAAGCATGCATCTGGACATGTCCCTTTGGCATGCCAGCACCTTGGTGAGGCTGCAGTGCATCATCGCTGTGCAGGACAAGGCACGGAGCCAGGCTGTGCTGTTTTTGGTGCCCTCCGCCCGCCTTCTGCCCCTGGCTGCCCTACTGGGAAGGAGTTTGTTCTCCAGGGAAAGCATAAAGCAACAATTTCATTTTTTTAATTAAAAAATTTCCCCGAAGCACCTGCTGCTTAGCTCTGCACATTTTTTTTCCTGGCTATCCTGGCCTGCCAACTCCAAGCGAGCTTTTCTCTCTCATTTTTTACACTCTCTACACTTCCAGAAACGTATGCACTTGGATAAAAGTAGAACTGAGAGGGGAAAATGCATATTCTGTTATAAAAAAAAAAAAAAAAAAGTTGAAAAGAGTGTCTAAAAGATGGATGCGTAAAGAAATCATACCCGCACTTCAACTCCAGGTCTGAGTTATATAAACTGAACTGTGGTAATTACCACGCTCCTCCAGATTAATAAACAATTACCATAGTAACTACACCATCAGATGAAACCTATGCTCATGAATTTTTAAAGCATAAATGGAAATACATGCCGGCCTAGAAAGTCTCCCGTTTATTTAGCTCCTGGAGGATAAGGGAGCGGATCCATTAAGGAGCTGGGGAAGGCACCTGGCAGCTTGTATGATGTACTGTCAGGGACAGGTCCCCTGCACTGAGCCACCCTGAGGACACGCGGTGCCCAGACTGAAGAGGGAGCCCACCAGCACGTCGCCCCGGCTGCCCAATGGGCTCTTCTTCTTTTTGGTGAGCGTGAGGTTTGGAGAAGGTCTTTAGGCTGATGGTGTGGAACCACACAGAGAAGGTGTCTCCATCCAATTCAGTGCTGGGAGAACGTGCACATGGCCAAATCTCATGGAAAACAACCCCATGGCTTTCTCTGCCGTCCGTATGAGCTCCTGTCTTAACTCTAGAGCCAATGTTTGCCTCAAGAGCTTCAACCTCATCCTGAAGCTCTGCTATGGCTGAGCCCAGCCTTGCTCTAACAGTTAACAGGAGACATATCAAAACTCGAAATAACAATATTATGTATCAACTTGTTGATAATTCTGACAGGAAAGCTGAAAAGCGCCGCTAAGTTAAAAAATAATGATGTGCAGCATTTGCAGTAATAGTCTAAAACATGAGGTGAGCCCTCTACGCTTTAAGTTTGCGCCACTTACTTCTGATAATGGTGATGAGCTGGAATAATACCCCCATTCACAAGAAAGTATTTCTTAAAACACTTTCAGAGTTAGGAAAGCCATTAAATCCTTGTGGATTGAAGGTAAAAAAATAAATTGTATGTATTTTAGACTTTGAATGATCTTCCTATAGCAATTTTAGGGGGGGAAAAAACCTAGGAAGAATTCTGCAATTTTAATCTCCTCAGTAGCTTCCCATTACTAAACAAGCAGAACGCCACGGTACAAATGTGGATGTTACATGTCATCTTGATCTGCTGCTTTTTTCTTTCATTAAAGCTTTAATGCAGCAATTATGGCTACGTTGCCCTATAAAAAAAGGAAAAGGCAGTTTACTTTAAAAAGTGAAATTGCATAGCCTACTATTTAATTATACACAAATGTAAATGGCCTATTTTTCCATAACTGGTTATTACAGCACTGTTTTACTTTCTGAGTTTTCACAATCTCTAAAACCTACAACGCTTCCTGCTATATAATTGTTTTGCTACATTATTGTTTTCATCTTATTTTTTCTTTTAATGTGAGTGCAGCGGGATAAATCTTGGTTTTAAGCCAGCCAGTACTTCATCTACTTAAGCTTTTATAGATGAAGATTGCTGTAATTATCAGAATACCCGCTTATTTCTGAAGTATTATCTTGGCAACCTGCTGGCATTTACAACCAATTAACAAGCTTTGCCCATTAGTTGCATAAGGGGTATCACAGAGTAAAGCCATTGTGTGCTAATTTTCTATTTTAGATAATCAGTTTGGCCATCCAAAATGGAAAGGGGAAGAAAAGAAAGGTTTGACACGCAGTGGCAGACATGTAAAAATGACTACATGCCTTCCCGAGACAAAGGTATCCAGCGCCTGCATGATTGCTTCACTGTCGTCACCACTGGGTTTTAAGTATTTATTCCCTTTGTCTCTTTTGGAAGATAAAATATAAAGTACAGCTTCGGCAAAGTAATCATGTCCTCTTTTTTATTTTTTAAACAGACTGGCTTCTCCCCCTGTCCTCTCGGTCTTGTAATTTCACCAGATTGCGCAAGTGTTAAACACGATGTCCAAAAAAAAAAAAGGGAGAGGGAAGGAAAGGGAGGGGAGTGAGCCTGGCTGGCGGCAGGCTGAGGTCAGGGCAGAGCCCCACGGCTCACCCTTGCTCTGTGCCCCGGTGCTTCCAGCCAGGCTGCTGGCAGCAGGCAGGATGCAGCCTGCCGTTCCTGTGCCTAGTGGCTTTGGGTTTGGGGGCTTTTTTTAAAGTGGTTTGGTTGGTTGGTTGTTGTTCTTTTTTTGTCTTTTTTTTTGTGTGTGTGTTTGTATTGGGTTTATTTCTTGCCTCTGCTATGGAGGTGTGCTGGGGAAGCAGAGAAGAGCAACAGAAATAGCCAGAAAAGTTGTCCCATATTTAATTGTTGCCTTCTTTGGACAGGCACCTCACCACTGCAGCTCTGGCATCCCCCAGTGCTATTGGAACGGTGCTGGCAGCACTAGCTCTGACCCGGACATCCGGGGACACTTTGGAATGGAGTCTCCTTCCTCTGCCCCGTGCCAGAGGATGTGTCCCATTGCAGCCAGAGCCTGCCCAGAGCGTGGCACCGCGCTGCTCAGCCAGCAAGGTAAGTAATGAAGTGCAGCAATTGCTGGAGGCAGCGGGGCTCACCCATTTAATTGTACATAAACGAGATGTTAGCCGCAGCCCGTGCTTTGCAATGAGGGTAGAAAATAATCAGTGTAAAGATGAGCGCAGCTCTTCAAGCGCGGTTTGATCACATTTACTCCATTGAACAGAACGGGTGGATGGCTCCTGTTGTAAAATGGTTTTATAAAACGTAGCGGACTGTACAATGACGTGTTTTATGTGCCTCCTGTGGCTTAGTTTCGTATTTTGCTTTAGCATAAGTTAAACAAAATAAAGACTATGATCACGCTAAGAGGGTGCAGCCAGTGAAGTGAAGACAGAAAGTCATAAAGAATGATCAGCTGTGCAATTACTAAAGACTGAAAATATATGCTGAAGTCTATGAAGTTGTAAATGAATAAGAAAAATGTTGTGCTTGGCAACTGGATGTGTATATTTGCCTCAATTATTTCAAATTATTTGTTACAGCTATTAGAGAACTTTAGCTTTCAGAGAGGTATGACGATCAACTCCCTCTGAGAAAAGGGATCTGGCCAGAAAGTCAGCCTGACTCACTATTTGGGCTCCTCAGAAAGGGGAGGTCAGAAGACAGATGAGCTGCATGCCGGCAGCCTGTGTCCCACCACACTGCTTCCAAGTCCCCCAGCTCCTGTCACACCTAGCTCACAGCTGTCCCATTGGGCACCACAGGGATGTCCCCATCCGGCAGCAGCTGGGCTCCTGCCCGCAGCACACTGTTGACATTGCTCCTCTGCAAGGTGGCAAAAAGATTATTATTGAAATACAAAATAAAAAGTGGATTTCTCCCAGTACTTCACTCCTGAAGGGCCCTTGAGAGATGAAGCTTACCTTGAGCTAAAGGAAAACATTTTTTGTGAAGGGCTCTTGTATGATAGAAGTGCTGCAAGGGTGTAGCTGTGAGTTAAACCCCACAGCTGCAAGGAGAGGACCCCACATGTGCTCCCTGCCTCCATCCAGGGCACATCCTTCTGCAGGGCTGGAGCAGGCATCAGCGGACACAACCAGGACTGTCCCAAAACAACTGGCTTGGGGAAGTCAGCATGCATCTGTTCTGCTTTTTTGTCAATGAGAAGTTTTAAGATCCTGCCCCAAAGTGATTCTGAGATTACTTGAAGGTGCATTTGATTTCCTTTTCCAAATATAGTTACAACCATAGCTTCCCCGACTGCTTCCCTACATGCCACTAACAAGAAAAAAGGGAAACCCATTTATAGGGGATTTACTTTCAGTCTCATGCAAATCACCAAACTGAAGGAGCAGTCCTCACCCAGCACTAACCAACCAAACCATTCCCACCCAGGAGCCGTGCATCCCAACAGCCTCAGCAAGAGCACAGCAGTGACAACTGAAAAATGGAAGCAGAGAAACTCTCACCGTGGCAGAGACAGCACAAACGCCCCATTATAGTTCTGCCTCTGCAAGGAGGAAACATGCTCCTCCAGGGCTCTAATCCCCATCACTAATACTATTAAATATTTATGTACCACCACAACTTTGCATGACACTTCACGGAGATAAAAGTGCTATCTCTGTGCCAAAGATCTTAGAGATGACGTCAGACAGATGAAGAAAGCGAGGTTTACAGAAAGGAGACATGATGAAGATTAAGAAACCAAACTAAAGCTGGTGACCCAGAAGCATTTTTAAATTCCAAGAGAGAGTGGGACGCAGGCTGAAGGAATATTGGGGTTCATTTTGCTTTTCAAGCTTTTTAACTTCTAAAAGTAGTTCCAGCCTTATCAGTGATGAGAGATTTCCTAGGTTTCCGAGAAGAAATCAAGTTATATATGGAACTGAGAGATCATGCAGAGAGAGGCAGCACTCACAGCATCGCCTGAGACAACAATGGATGGAATATATGGGGCAGAGGTAGCGTTAATCTAAGGCAAATAGCAGTATACATATAGCTGCAGTCATGCACATGAACACGCACATAAATCCATACATACACTCCTAGCAATTCAGTTAGATTAATTTGCTTTGGATATTCCATTATTTTACTGTAGTCCTTGTATAGTACTTAAAGAATCAGGTTAAGCATTCTGCATTAGATGCACAAACAATGCTGCTTTACCTCCGCATGGGTGTTGTGAGACTTTAATTAATGTTTGTAAAGTGCTTTCAGATCCCCAGAAGAAAGGCGCTATAGAAGTGTGAAGTCTGATTATTTCATGGCATACAAAAGTAGAGGTGAAAAGAAATATTCTCCTCCTTACACATAAAACTACTGATCTCAACTCCTGCATTTAAAAAAGATGATGTTAAGAAAGAAAAGAATTCTGACCATGAACCTACTTCAGGCTTCCCCTTTGCCTTTTTCATCTGATTTCTGGTTGAGTGAAATAATAAACTATTGTATTGCTGTAAACTCTTTGTAAGTAGATTTGACTAAGACAACAGAGTTCAGTGCCAGCAGCTACTCTGATCATTCTTTTAAATGGAAATTTACCGTCTGCTGCATCACATGGAAAAAATATAGAACTATTTTTCACAGCTTGTTCACTGAACAGATTATTGGAGGGAAGAAAAAATAAAAAGGCTTCATTTTCTACAGATCCCAAATCTTGGTGTAGAAAGTCTTGGCAATTTCCTTTTGAGAGGAGACAGATTTCACTTTCGCATTGATTTAACAATGATAAGAGTTTCCAAAATGAGGGCCCGATTCTGAAAATTTAAATGGTTGGCCACACTTGGTTCAATAGCTTATCTATGAGAGCAAAATTACTCACATGCATCAGTCTATGCAGGATCTGGTCCTAATATAGAACCAGTTCTTGATGTCATAAAATCTTTTTTAACAGCATCTTGTGTTACATTTAATTTATTTCACATGGCCTCATAAAATAAGATAAAAGCCTGTAAGTCTAAAAGTCATATAAAGAAGATGGGAAAAAAAAGTCCTACCATGTATTCGTGTTTATTAAGTATTATCTTCATGCGACTTACAGACATTTAACTCCAGAATTTCCAAATGTTTCCCCTAATCCTAATTGCAGTCAGCAAGGGCTGTTAATGCATGAAACAGATTGCAGCGGATGAGCTTTTTGGGTGAGCAAGGCTTTCCCCAGCCTCTCAAAGACTGGTGCTCACACTGCCCTTGCTGCACAGGACAGGACGTTGCGGACGTGCCACCCACTACACAAGGGTAGGTGGCAGTGCAGCATCTGGCTAACTCTCGCCATCCACTAAGCTGCACCTTACTCTGGCTTCTGCAGTAACACATAAGATGCAATATATCAGAAGCGCTGCTTTTTAATTTTTTGTTTTAGCATGAGCTCCTCTATGCCAAAGGAAATCTAAATGAGTAAAAATAAATACCTAGACTGCAAGAGGAGCAACGCGTATGTTTTGTGTCTAACCTCCAGGTGCAGCTCAGGAAGCCTGGGAATCAGCAGCTTGCATCAATGCTTGCATCTCCTGGTGGCCTGCAGACAGAGAATGGCTCCAAGCAGGAAGGTCGTGAACAGAAAAGCATCTTTGAAGGCAAAGAAGGCTTCACCCCTCTACAAATCAAGGTCAGAATGCTGCTCCTCCCAGGTTGGTGCTGGGAGCAACAGCAGTAATGCTGGGAAAGAGAAAAGACGTAGATAAATGGTAGGCAAAGGCCAGCACGTGCCAAAGCATGCACCTCAGAGCAATATGATTAACTGCAGGGTGATGCTTTACAAAGCCCTGTGAAAACAACCAGTGGTTACACGAGGGAACCTGGGAGAGATCATCATGGAGAAATGTGCCAGGTCATCCTGACAGAGATGCATCACACTTTGTTGACATGTGACACCAAAGCCCAGCCTAATTTCCATCTTCCCTACTTCTGCACCTCTCTCCCATTGGTATAGCTGTGGCGTTAATTTCTCAGGAGAAAAAAAAAGCAATTAAGCTTTGCAGTTTAAGAAAACACCTATTTTTACCCATGAGGCAATGCCCATCATCACTGCTGAGAGATTTTAAAATGGGCCATGATGGCCAAGCCCCGTTTGATGTTAGCAACTTTCATGAGTTGATATAAAAGTGTAAAATGTCAGAGGGAGTGGCTTCTTGCCCCCAGTGTGGGCCCTTTAATGATGGTCATTACTGTAAGGAAACAGGGAGGTCTCACCTCATTGCAGCTGCTGCTAGTGCACTGCCATCAGCAGGCGCTCTGGCAGGCAGGTAGCAGAGCCTGCGCCTTCCCTCTAGCAACACCAGGGCCAATGCAGCGAGCAGACTGCACCCCCAGCCTCAGCCTTGGAAAAGAAAAGTTACTTCTGGGGGAGTGAAAGGATTCCTGAGGACAACTTTCAGTAAAGGCAAACTTGAGCCACAATCTGACACAACAGCCAATAAACAGCTTTGAGATAATCGCACGTACCTCTGTGGTAGGCAGTGGTCTAACCTAGGCAGAGATGCTTTTAGAACATGGCTTTTCTCACCAGCCCTTGATATTTTTCTTGTGATCAAGGCAACATCTACAGTGAAAAACCTACGCCACAGCTGTCAGGGCTTCTCTCCAGCAGATAATTAAATTCCAACTTGATTGCCATTGTGACAAGTGAGCTCAAGTTTGGTGGTACCATGCCCGCCAGCCGAACACAGATGAGAGCCATCAGCTGCACAGTTGTTAATGGCTGTGCTGGAAGCAGAGGTGCTGCAGTACTTAATGGCACTCCCCAGGAGGTGGTCAGCCTCCCAGAGACTGACAGTAGCAGGAGCACATCTCAAGCTGTGACTGCATTTCAATCCGCATGCTTACGTGGGAGGCCTGGCAAAAGTGGAGTGAGTCAACGAGTTTAGAGGACTTTCAAGATCTCTTCCACACCAGAGAAAGGCAGGGTTTAGTCTGGGTTGGTGCGTGGTAGGATTGCTAAATGCAAAAAGACAAAGTCATCTGAGTTCTCTGCTTTGGATTGCACTCTTAAGTTGCTCTTTTAGATAAAGAGTTTTTTTCCTCTCCACTTGATTACAATATGCACATCCCATGTTTTTGCAGATACATCTATTCTCTATAGAAGAGAGCATTTAAACTGAGTTTATCTGTTAAAAATCAGACTGCACATTAGCTTAGATCTATTAAGCTTCCTAATAACTGCTTTTTCATAGCTGGCCTGCTTTTTATGTAAATCCACTGTGTATTTCTAGGCTTGTTATTGAACTTTACGATTTTAAATTCAGCTGGAGGAAGACTGTGATTTTTTCTCACAAGAAAGAAATGCTGCTTTGCTACCAGCATCCTGGAGGGACTCCTCCAGTTCATAAAAGATGACCAGGTCTCGTATTGAAGAACCGCGTGAACCACATCTGTCCCTTTGCCTTGCCTGCTGCTTGGAGGTGTACAGCCAGCCATGCTCCGAGGCAGTCATGGAGATGGCCTCAGCTGAGGCAAGCACTCACCCCAGCCCTCTGTGCCACATGAAGGACAGCAGGAGAAGGGCTACATGGAGTCTCCTGGAAGTCTCCATTCTCACCTTAAGACCAACCACCAACCAACACTCTGAATCATGAAGGACAACTATCAGGTGCAGGAGGAGTCAGGCAGAAGTATTTTCTGCGTGTTGCATACAGTGTGACACAAGAGGTGTGGCGTTTGGTTGTGCCTGCACTGGCATGAGCCAGCAGGCATGCTTCAAGATACCTCCTGGCCATGCTGAGATGGAGCAAGGCTTTGAGGCAGCCGAGTGGGATCAAACCCAGCTGCTCTAGTTGTGGGACGCAGCACTGGCAGCACCAGGTGGCAGCTGGGTGGATAGGTCTGAGGCTTGGCGGCACTGGGTGTAGACTCTTAAGGCTGTGCCTGAATAGGTTGGCCCCTTTCTAGATCTCATCCTAGGCTCCTAAAGGCTGAGTTTATTCATCACCCTATGTGCTTTGCTTGCAGCATTGGCTTCTCCGCTTGTCAACACGCCGTTTTCTGAATTCTCAGTGCAAAGGAAGCCTTTCATGGTTTGGCATCCTCTTATATGTTTATGCTTCTCAAGATATATTCTCTAGCCAAGTCTTTAAGTTCTTACATTAGTCCCCAAGCCCAGACATCAATCTGTTGCTGATCAGGTCTTTTCACATCATGCTGCTTTTATCTGGAATGCTGTTTTTGATGCTTCCAGGGAAGCTCTGCCTGATGTTTTTAAGAATGTGGTTAATATTTTTTTTTTCTTTCTGTTTAAAACGACACTTCAGTACCGCTATTTCTTTTAACCTTCTGCTTTTACTGTAAGACTTCAGCAAGAAATTTGCCTTATAAATGCTATTATACTGGGGAGGTCCTGATTTGCATCTTTGTCCTTGGGTAATGTAGAAACAGCACAGGGGTCCACAAGCAGACAGAGACTGATTTTTTTTCCCCCTTTTATAATCTACAATAAAAAGTTTCTTTAAAGGGGAAGAAAAGAGAGGCACATGCTTAATATTGCAGAAAAGCCTTCTTGTGCTTGATACATTGGATAAACGGTTCAAGAACACTTCATCCTCCTACAACTATTTCCCGCACTTCTGCCAAGGTTAGGGAAACCTTGGGTTAGCTGCCGTCTGAATGCTGCAGGCTGGTATCAGTCTGAACAAGTTCAGCTGACTGCTTAGAAGATTTTCTTTATTCTTCCTCCTGTTGTCTCTCCACTTTGGCAAATAGAAATCACCTTCGTCTTTGGGGGAGGCCTCGGCCTGAAAGCGCCCAACAAAGAGCGGCTGGCGGCAGGTCAAGGTCCTTCCATTGAGTCGCCCAGTCCCCATCAGCTTGTGTTGGTGATCAGCCAGCTGTCAGGGAAACAAGGCTCTCCAGATCAGCGTGGTCTGGGACCAGGTGGGTCGTAAAACGTGACGGCATATTTTAATAAATGACTGAAAGATTAAAATAAAATCAAAACCACAGCGGCAAAAAAATCCAAGAAAAATCAAATTTCTCCCTCATAAGGAAGCTCTCACTATTCCACACCAGCAAAGAAGGAAACAAAGAGGTGGAAAGTGAAAGTATCAGGCAAGCATGACTAACTACAGGTGGTGGATGTAGTCCTGCCTTCTTTGCTCCCTTTGAACTGCCTTTGTGCCATGAACTAGCCCATTAATTTTCCTTTAGGTGAGCATTTTGTTGCTAATGTATTGGGCGATTAACCAGAGTCAATACCAGAAGCTTCAATTTACATTTAAACTTTTAAAATTAAATAACCTTAAAAAGAAAGGTTCTGCCTCATGCAGAAATGCTTTGAGTTAGATCATTATGTTATAGACATGAAGGTGGAATCAGCTTTGACAGAGTTATAACCATTTCTATCACCATGGAGCTGCCCCAGCATTTGTGCACACAACAATACTCCAAGCTCGCTCTGTACATTTTATAGTGAGAGCCACCTGGGTAAAGCTGACCTACTGGTTCACTGAAAATCAGACAGAATACATCCAATTCCTTCTCTAATGGTCATCTGCTTCATAATAAGGATCGCTCTAATCATCGCTTTCTCTAACGGGACCACGGCCTGGGCCTAATTGTAAGAGCTACACTCATTTAAAGACAGGACATGGAGAACACAGGGATGGGGAAAAGCGCAAAAGCTTCAGCAGATGAGGAAGAGCGATTTCTTCTTCTGTGTTTTCCCTTGCTGAAACTGCTCAAGATGTATTACCATGGCTACCCACCTGGGAAGGCAACACTTTTCCAGTTACTTTATGGCAGCAGAAGGGACCCTGGGAAAGGCTTCCTTCAGGTGAGAAGATGCCAGTGACTTTCCACTACAAGCCCTCCTCTTCTCATGGTGCCCATACCCTCTGTGCTGGTCCTTCTGCAGGCCTGAGACTGCCCCACGGAACCAGCCACATGTACTCTGCTCTGCTCCATGGGAGCTGCTCTGCACGGCACAGACCACAGGCAGGCAAGGAGCAAAGGGCAGATGTGGCATGGTTAGTCAGCCCAGCTTCGAGCTGGTGTCCCACAGCGGTAACATGTGCAGGACCACACTTCTCCTAACACACAGATGAGTAGGTGTGTGGAGAGATGGGCTAGATGTTATGATTTTGAAGTATATTTTGTGATATCTCATGTGGAACGTGGCTCTGCCCAAGTTCCCCTGCGATGGACAGCAACAGGGACAGAAGGGGACTGGCTGCCGGCAGCTGCAGACACCCTGCTGCCCCATCACAGGACCACCCGCCTGCAATCAGCAGCACCATTTCCTGACCATACGGCGTGATGCCTCTGCCTTCCCAAATCCTTAAATCCCCACCTGCATTTCCCCAAACACAGCGTTTCAGGAAAAGAGCAAGCCTGAGCCAGGGCTGCACGGTGGCCTGGGCACTGGCTTCATCACGCTCCTACCCATTAGCCAAGCCGACATCGTTAAAGTACATACTCATTTAAGGATTACTCTAACGTTGCTCATTTCTAGGTCAATTATTGACTTAAATCATGTTAAACTTTAACATAAATATGCTACAATATCACCTGTACATATATTACGATAATTATATGGTTACAAAATTCTTTTAAAACAGCAATTTCCCCTTTGGAAACTAAGGAAACTAGCTACTGCTGGAAAATAAAGGCTCACAGACTGCTTTGAAATCTACATAAAGAAATATGAAGATTCCCATTACCTTCACATCAGCTTCTCAACAATCAGTTTGGATTATTAAACACATCTGCAAATTAATTCCCCCTCAGTTAAAACCATCGCTTCCTCAAAACGTTCTGTCTAACCCTTTCAGAGAGAAAAGCCGAGAAGTGAAAGGCACTGGATCACAACTTCTAAAGATACAAACAACGTGAGATAATTAAAAAATATATAATAATAATTGAAAAGAGCACTGCTAACTTTTTCACGTTTTAGCAAACTTTTCAATTAGGATTTCTTCCTGGCTATTTAAATACGCTTAAAGTAATGATTTTCTGTAATTTGTCTTTTTCCTTTGGAAACATACCGTGCTATTGTCAGCTTTAAAAAAGAAGCAATTTTCTGACTTTTGAGATTGAGCAGGTCATGGAAAAATTACTACTGTGGGAACCTATAATTAAATAGAAAATGCAGCTGCACTTATGAAAAACTAAAATTAAATTTATTCTATTAATACTTGATTCCAGGATGACATCTGACTCTTCAGACACAGGTCCTAGCTGAAATGGCACCTTACCTGCAGAACAGCAGCTTGCAAAGGCAGAAACCATATAAGATGTACCAACGTATTGCTAATTATTTGCTGTCCAATTAAGTTATATTCAGTATAGCAGGATAGTCATTTACACATGTAGCCCTGCTTCTTTTCCTGGTATTGGATCTTTGGGTGTTGTTTTTTTTTTTTTTTTCCTAAAGAACTCAATTAAAATAAATCCATGCAAAATCAGTAATCCCATTGTAAATTTAAATTGAAAGAAAAAAAAGTACAGAAAGGAACTTTTCAGCAAAACTATGTAGTACATGTGAATCAGATAAAGCTCTCCTCCCAGCTTTCAGCAGACGTGATATGGAGACAAGATTCTGTACAATATTATGATACAAAACCAAGCTTAAATTAAAGAAAAATTATCAGTTTCCAACTGAATGCTTACAGTGTACGAGATACAGACTTTAAATTACATTCTAAATAAAAATCTCCAATAAAATATTTCCATGACCCAGAATACCTTTTAAAACACCAAAAATACACAAGGTGAACAAAAGGCACAACGAGAAATTTGGGTGCAGACGTATTACTAAGGATCTATTAGACATGATCTGATATCTGATAATAAAAAATACTTGCACAGAAATCTCAAAATACAAAATTAAAAATAATGGAAGAAGACCAGACCAGTTTGAAAGAACTGTATTAATTTTGTTTAGTAACTGTAATTAAAAAAAAAAAAAATTTTTTTTTTTTTTAGTCATTGGCATTTAGGAGCCTCTCACAATTTCCTAGGGTAATAGCAGGGAATATTCAACGACCTCTCCTTATTACATGATATTTTAGAAATTACTAAATATGAATTTTCTTTTCTGCACTACATAATAATCTGTAAAACTACATTTCCTTTAAACCTCCACTAATTTGCTAGTTTGGGGGGTTGTTTATTTTTTATTATTATATTAGAAATATTATCCCTATTTATTTATAAATAGGGAGGAAAATTTCCATCTCCTGTTCAGCAACCGCTTTCACATACCCAGTTTTCTGTGCTATTATAAAAAGCACGACTAAATCCATATAGTTTATTTGACATTTATATTATACATCTATATGTTATACACTATAACATATAGGCTGCAATCCTTTCTTTGTATGCAAATTCAGCTCCACTATTTTTATTACACTTCCATATTAAATCTAATACCGATATTCATAACGACTGTGAGAAGGAAAGCAGCACCTCGGGGAGGGTAAAGGAATGATCTGCGAAGGAGCAATCACACACAGCCTGGGAAAGATTTGTTCATCTTTCAGAAGCGACTTGTGAGCAATAGCATGGTGGCAGAGCAAGCCACAAAACCTGCACTGCGTGCACTGCCTGACTGAAGGCACTCAGGAGGGACCCGAGGGGCCAGCAGTACAACCGTTTGATTGCACGTGTACCGCTTGCTTGCTCTCAGCTGCCTGTTTGGTCAGTGGCTTTTGCTTTTTTTTTTTTCCCTTCATGCCGTGGAGCTGGATTCCTATTTTCCAGCTACATAAATTCCACAGAGAAAAGGAAAACTGATCCATGAAGTTCCATTTGCATAAAGCACAGAAACATCTGTCACGAGCTCCTTGTCAGAGGAGCGAGCATCAGGAGCGAGATACTGCGGCTGGTCGTCTGCCCTCAATAAAATACTTCTTTTTCTGTCAGTAGGAGCTCGGAGCGAGAGTGGTTGAAGGGACAGAGAAGAGAGAATGTGACCAGAGAAGACGTTATGATTTGAAACGAGCAATCAGTTTCGTGATGCTGTCTCACTGATTAACGCGCACAAACGAGCTCTGCCCCAGGATCAGAAATGCCCTGTTCCATTCAATCTCAGTTCTTTGCAGGCACTGTTCTCAGAAAGGTGTATGATTGTTAAATCAGAGTCCTGCAGATGCCTGCAACAGCAGCTTTCTGTTGTTGTTGTTAAACTTTCTGCAGTAAATGATCCATAGTGGCAAGGCTGACAACAAAGCAGTCGGTCTGCAGTGCTCGTTGGAGTTCTGATTTCAGCTTTGGGAATCCAAGAAAAATATCAAGGAAGACTTATCTGTATCTCAGATCAGGAACATTTTCAGTCTGTTTCTGTATGTATATGTAATGCATGTCTACAATCATAAATATCAGGTGGAACAGCCAATTTGTTCATACAGAATGTATAAATGGAACAGAAAGACAGGGAAGTAAAATAGCAACTATTTTAAAAACAGAATAACTGTGCTAGGTCAAGTTATTTCCAGAATCACTACAAATACTGCGGGTAACATAGAAGATTTCTATTTCTAAGTCTTGCTCCTTTCTAATCCTTAAATTAACGAGCGTTGTCGATACAATTATGCAGTGGGCTCTAGGCTGGCCTCCCCTCTGCTCAAAGTCAGAAACCAACCTAACCTCCAGCATGCCGCGCTAACACAGTGCTTCGCTCAGCTCGCGTGTGGTGTGGTACTGAACAGCCAAACGGAGAGGAAAATATTTCCTTTGCGTTTACTGCCTACTCGTGTCAGAAGTGGTACGAAGGTGGTCGACAGCTCCGTTTTCTACCAACAGACAGCAGGCTTCACGCACTAAGGCAGAAGAGATTAATACCGCATTAGTAACATCTCGCTCACCGTTGTCACTGTAAAACGGCTTCAAACATTCCTTACGCAGAGCAGACAATGCAGGCATGCTTTCTTTCCTTTCTTTATCTCCCTCGTCCCTTCACCCACTGTTTGATACCTCGATTTGCCCGTGTCTGGGTGCTGGAAATACCACTGAGAGCGCGGCTCAGCAGGGTCACGCATTCAGGCAGGGCTGCGGGATTATTGTGAAACAACAGTTGTGAGAATAATACCAAAAAGCAGCAGCAGGAGCGATCTTTGCTCTCGTCCGCATATTTGTATAAAAAGTTTCTCTGGCAGTGGTTCATCGGCAGGCAGTAATCTGCTAGGTTACTTCTTTGTAATTTTTCTGTTTCATAAATAATACAGGAGTTTACTAACAGGAAGTTTGTGGGAAGCAACAGTAAACAGTCTAGCAATCCATCTGTTATTGTGGAATCGAGAAAGCTGAATCAGGTTCTTTGCAAGTGGACTATTTTAGTTCGTGCTAGAGAAGACGTGTGGGAAATGGGCATTCAAGTCGTTAAGGCGAACTCTTGCAGCCCTCCTTCCTCCCTTGCCGCGTGGAAGGGGGCAGCTGCGTGCGATCACAGCAAGAAGCTCGGGTTCATTAGTGGCTGCGGGGCGGCTCAGAATCACCCCGAGCGGAGACGAGGCCGCCGGTCAAACACAAAGCACGCAGGTGGCGGTCACAGGAATCGCGCTGCTTAGACGCGCAGCTCGGGAAGAGCGACTTGTACGTACAAATACACAGAAACCCGCTAGCACCTCTCAGCATCGAAGTGTTCACCAGGAGGAAGCCGAGAGGCTGAAGGGACCTGGGCAGGGGAGGGGGAGGCAATAAGGGGAAACAAGGCACCGCCGGACGCTGTTCCGACAGGTGTTCGTGTGCGCCGTGCGCGAACAGAGGGCGCTGCCAGCACGGCGGGACGGGACGGGACGGGACGGGACGGCTGCTGTGCAGCTCGGCTGCCGCGTGCGAGCCGGAGCCCGAGCTCAGCAGCGCTGCTTCAAGCGGGCTCGCAAACCGTGCTCGTTCACAATACAGCCGAGCGTAGCGAGACAACGAATACGCGGAACCCCGAACCCTGCCGGAAAGATGCCGGAGGCGAACGAGAGGCGGCGAAGCGAAGCCGCAGGGCAGCTCACGCCGCACACCGGCAGCCCGGGCCTGGCGGCACGCGGACCGCGTGACGCCCGCTCAGCGCCGCCGTCCGCAGGCGGCCCCACGCGCGCGGCTGCGGCGGGAGGCCGTGCGCGCGGGCAGAGCCGCCACCTCCCGGCGCCCTTCGCGCACGGCGACCGGACCGCGGCGGGGCGCCTCGGGACGGCGGCGGCTGCGAGGCGCGGGGCGCGTCCGACGGATGCGAGCGGACGGACCGTCGCGGCCCGCTCAGCTCCCCCTCCGCGGCTTCTCGCCGCGCCGCCGCTCTCCCGAAGGGGTTTGCTGCCCCCTGCCGGCCCCCGCGCGCGTTGCGGGCGGCCGTTACCGCTCCTCAGGGGCGGCGGAGGTCTGCGTCCCTGCGCTGCCCCCGCGCGAGGCAGCCCGTGCCGGGCTGCGCGATTTGCCCCGGGAAAACGTGAGCTGGCTGAGGGCTGCGGCTGCCCCCTGAGCCCCGCACACACACAGGAACTCCGCGCAGCACAGGCCGGGCACTAATCGTGTTTGCGCGGTTCCGGCGCCGCCTCAGCTAACTAACTTTTACAAGACGCCACCGCACCGCTGCCTTTGAAGCAGCTGCGGGTGAATCCGTTGTTCCGTGAAGCAGTGAAAGACATCACCTGATAACTGTGCAGCATCATTAAAAGTTCAGCATTATCTGTGCCGGTTACACCTCGGCAACGGCAAAGTTGTAAAAAAGTGACAAAGATTCTCTCTTAGACTGGTGGAGAAGCCAGGAAATCGTTTCTCTGAACACGGACCTGTAATGTCCGTGACAGCAGGACCTGCCTTTCTCATGTAATCCCACTGCAAGTGAGTCGGAGTGCTGCGGTGCTCTGCGTCGCGCCGTATGGGCACGCAGGGGGACAGGATAGCTTGCACAGACGGTAGAAGTGGCAAGGTGGGCATGCGTTCTGATAATACCGCCACCTGTGGCTGCCTCCAGCTAGAGCCTGGCTTTTTGCCACAGGTTTTACCCTGTGAGCGTTAACCTCCCGGTGAGGAGGCACAGGTGTATGGCGTTATCACTCTACAGACGAGAAAAGACCTTGTTTCTTAGCGTCCAGATCTCTTCTGCTTCCCCGCGATTCAAGAGCTGTTTCTCCTGACCGGGTCTGCTGCAAGAAGCGTCTCACGGTAAGAACCAGTGTGGTTTTATTACGATATTTTATCCTAACTGCATTTTGCTCATTTGGTTGTAGGGTTTGGAGGTGTTGCGTTTGTTTCTGCGTCACGGTGTGGTCGGTGTTGATGCACAGCAGTGCACTAGCACAGCCCAGGCGCTGAGGGCAGCAAGGAGCTGTGGCTGTTCGTTCATTTAGGCGTGCGGAGCTTTCTGCGGGTTTTGCTCATTTGAATGAGGCGTAATTCAGTGTGCTATTTCCTCTATTCCTGTAATCTAGATAAGACAAAGCAGGCTTAGATGTCCTATCCAGTGTTCTCTGTTGCGAGAAACTTCCATAATGAGGGGTGTTGGTGGTGTATTTCCTGAGTATTCACTGATATGCATGCTTCTGCTACCCTTTTTTGTTCAGGGTGCAAGGACCCTACAACTGCTCATCAGCCAAGCGTTTGATGTTAGGGGCATTTGTGCGCCAAGGGAATCATAACTGATCGTTAATGGTGTGCTGGGAAGGTGGTCCTGACAATTGACTGGTCTGGGCTCAGAGCCTTGTTCTCTGGAAACAGTGTGACAAATGAACTTTTTGTTTTGTGCGCATAAGTCTGAGTCACTTCAATGCTTTGTGAGTTTGTTGTAACATTAGCGGGTCAAACGTAAGGCTCTACTGAGCTTTGCTGCTACAATCTGGTCAAGTTTTTGAAACTCAGAACAAATGCCGCAACAAAACTTTCTGAGCTGTGATTCCCCATTGTATGCGATGTATTGCTGCTGCCCTGCGCGACTGGAGGGACCTGAGCTGTTACTACACCTGTGATTGCAGTCTGGATGTAGGGTCTCTCTTGCTCTCTCGCTCTAGACAGCATTGCCTGACTTCTTGGTTCCAGTGCAAACACTTTGGCCCTGCTGATCATTAAATTGAGAGGTTTTGAGCCCTCAGTTCATACTGAGTGCACAGAGCTGTAACCACACAAAGGCTTGTGCTGTAGTAGTTGGTAGAGAACTCAGAGTCTGGCCACTTTTGGAAGCTAGCCTTAATAACCCTTGGGGTCCTTCCCTAAGTCTCACCTCCAGGTAGCACTCCTTGTCGGATGAATCAATCTCTATTATATTATGTCACTTCTGTGCCTGTTTCTGTTGTGTTTGGTGGTGTACTCAAGCTGAAAACCACTAGCACCATCATGTTAGACAATCAATTGAAAGTCATATAGACAGAGACTTCAGAAATTGATCTCTGGCAGGAACCTTTGCCCAGGTTTATTGAGTCATGATGCTAATTTATTTCCTCTGTGTCGGGGGAAATCCTGTCTCTATAGTTACCTTTTCTCATCACTCCAGTTTTGCGTCCAGCTCAGCTACCTGCTTCTTACTGTTTTCTGTTCATGGCAACCAAAAACATTTTATCCATGGAAAAAATATAGGCTTTGAACCTAGTGGGACTAATTTAAAACACACATAAAATTCAGTGCAGGTAGACAACTCACTGAGCTGGAAAACATAAGTGCTGCTCATTGCTAGGAGTCATGACACTGCGCAGGAGGTAGCACAGCACAGCCTCACCATAAATACCAGCAAAAACAGATGTTGAGAGGGTGTGAGCTGAAGTCTGGGGATCGAACAGTTCCCCTTTGTCTTGCTTAACTGAATTCTAACCGACACCGGGTAACAATGGCCTTAGAAAATCACAACTCGTGGAGAAACAGCAGAAACGACCACGGTGTGCCCTGCAGGATGGCTGCCGCTCCGCTCCCGATGAAACGTGAGCCGCCCCATTAAGAGCCGGGTGTCCGCAGAGCAGCTCCGCCGCGGCTCCGTGGCTGCGCGCCGCCGCCAGAGGGCGGGAGAGGCAGCGGCCGTGGGCTGCCGCCGTGCTCTCGGAACGCGGGGCTCACCGCTAAGTGCCCGCGGAAATCCCTTGCTAAGGATGCCCGGGTGATCCGTGGAGGCACGCGGGGAGGATTCAGTCTCAGAACGGGCGTTTAAGGATGTGCAGTTAAAAAAATGAACGGATAGAAATGAACTGTTAGGTGTGCTACAGTTACGTGTATGAGGGAAGATGCATTACTGATGCAGTGAAGCTGTGCATAGGCCTCTATAGTATGTCTCCTGCAGAATCCGGTAGGGAGGCTGAGCATGTATTCCCACCAGTTGCACATAACTGGCAACGAGGGTCAGCACAGAAAGAAACCCCATTTCTGAGTGTTCAGGGCCAGGTTGAGCAGGCAGAGCAGGATGGGCTTTAAGGTGTCCTTCAACCCATTGCTGCCCCATACTCAGTACTCACACAAACAAAAACAGCACCACAAGTTTCATCCTATTTTCCTTTATGGCTGATCAGAATGAAGGCATGTTTGTGGGACACATGCATATGCATACAATAAGGATCATCCCATTAGTTGGCCTTAGGCAGTAGTCTTAGTAGTTGACATCTGAGTCATCTTGTCTCAAGTTGCCTCATGCACAGAGATGCACACACACATAGTCATACGTGCACATAAATGACTCTCCACTCAACCCCCAGAACCACGCTGTCTCTCTAGAAGTTGTCCTGAACCTCATGGTCCATCCAGTGGCTGTTCCTCACGCACAGACACGTCTGTATCTGGCCTAGACCTGCTTCCTAAGCCACGTATCCCATTTGCCAGCTGGTCCATAAAAAAAACCTCAGGTTTGTTGCTTACAAATTAAAAAAACAAAACAAAACAAAAACAACTTCCTTTTAAGTATTTACATGGAATCGAAGTATTTCTTCTTTTTAACATAAACAATGCACAGAACAATTGTTCCTGTCCCAATTCAACATTAAAACATTCTTCTTTCCAGGATTTGGCAGTAGTATGTAAACCTCAAGTCAATTGCTGTAAGTGAACTGCATGTTTTTCTTACAGTACTTTTAATTAAGCTCTCAAAGGTTTTATTTTAAAAGACTCTTTAAAAAAAAAAAAAAAACCCTCTCCTGGCTTCTTTCATAATATAGATGGGAAGAATTGTTTGCATGGTCCAATGGGAATATCTAAATGAAAGCATTAGAAAATACATTTCCAAGTTCTTTTCCTTCCCTGCTCAGTTTCCAAATGAATGTCTTTTATTGCTACTCAGCCAGCTGGAAAGCCTGACAACAGTGTAATGCATTTTCAGCATGAAAAGTGTCACCTATACAGATTTAAATGTTGTGTGTGTGAAATAATAAAGCTCATTGATAATTTGAGGCAAGCTAGGCAAGAGAAACTAGACAAAGAAGAATTTGACAGCTCATCAAGCCCTGCAGTGATACCACTGGCCAGCTGTTCCCAAGGCTCAGCCATGCTGCTGGGAACACAGGAAACCAGTGCCCATAGTGTATCAGTACCACCTGAAATCTGTTTAGCCCTACAATTAGGCAGACAATCAGAAAGTGGTTACAGCAATTATTTTTTTTAATGCACAGCGTATCTTCCATGGAGCTCCTCAGTAAAGGAGGCTGCCCTTACTCCCTCCAGAGCCTTCAGGACACGGGCAGAAGACAGCAAGCAAGAGCATTCTATCCAACATAAGCACTCTGTTCTTTAGTGGGGAACTGCTACAGTCAGGAGATTTCAAAACAGTTTGAAACATCCACTACTTTCTTTAGATTGTATGTTACCAAGGTTGTCATAATCTAATGCCTGTTAGAATGAATTGGCTTGAAAATATATATTTTGCAAATGGCCAAGTCAGGCTTAAAACCCTAAAATGCAGCATGTTTAACTTTGTCCCTTTTGATCATTTGGACCATAGGATTTTGTCAGACACCAAAATAAGGAAAGTTAAACACAGATGGTGTCATTGCAAATATTTTCCATGCTGCTCTTC